CCTCCGCGGTTGAATCCCTGGTTCTCTCGTGCTCTAATCGAGACCCAAACCACTCGACCACCCCCATGGTTAAGCATCGATGCATTCCTACTTGTTTCACAAATCAAGATTATCTTTTTTGATCCGTTTTTTTCGTCTTTGTGAGTTTAAAAGCTTTTTTCTAAGTTGCTTAGTGTTTGCTGTCTTTTAACTAAAACTTGTGAATTTTTATGCTAGTTTTAATGAGACATCCGCTGTATAAACCCGAAACTTTTACCGCTCTAATCGAGAATCATACCTTTAGACCATTGTCCCATGTTTTGGCATCAATGCTTGGTTCACATAAAAAAAGAATGTTTAGTTTTTGTCCGTTTTCTTTTTTTTCAGTGAGTTTATTAATAAATAGCACTTAACGCACCTTCGGTGCTTCGAAATTTTCGACAACTCGTGAGAAACCGCATATATTGGAAACGACATCTGCAAACTTTTAGTGTACTCTGACTGCACCCAATTACAGGGTTGGTAATTTCGAACTTTTAATTTTTTTTCCCATTTTCAAAGCGTCATTTCGAAAACTTTAAGGGCCTCTGGAGAAATTTGGAAGCCAGATTTGCAACCACTGAGAGTCCCTCAGAGCACCCTACTATAAGATTAGGAATCCAAAATTTTGTGAATTTTTTTAAACCAAAGTTTCCCGAAAAAAAATTGAAAAAACGTCTTATCTCCGAAACTAAAAAGGTTTGAGCATACATTTTAAAAGGCAAGATTTGAGACGCCTGGATGTACGCTGACAATAAGATTTTATCTTCATCAAGTTAGTAGTTTCAAATTTTTCGAATTTCTGTGAGAAATTTTGAGAAAATCAAAAAATGTCACATCTCGGAAAGTAAAATCATTTGAGCAGTCGCGTTTAGCAGTCGCATGTGGCAAAATTTGCAACTTTTTGGAGTACCCTGACAACCCTGAACTATAGCGTTGGGAATTTCAAATTTTGAAAAAAATTAATTTATACTTTCTGAAAATTTTGAAAAAATTACAAAAGAATGTCGTATCTCGAAAACTACAAATAATTGAGCAGTCATACTTGAAGGCGAGATTTGCAGTCTTTGAGAGTATTCTGACAGGATCTAACTACAGAATTTCAGATGGGAACTTGGGAATTTCAGATTTTTAAAAACTAAAAATAATTTAAGTTTTTTGAAAACTTTTGAAAAAATCACAAAAAATGTCTTATCTCGAAAACTACAAAGAATTGAGGAGTCATGTTTGGAGGCAAGATTCGCAATCTTTGATAGTACCTGTTTTTTTGTGAGTTCAATAAATATTGTAGGTTGATCAGTATTTGCTGTTTTCTACTAGAAACATTATTTTTTCTGTTAGTAGTCTGGGGACAGCCGGGAACTGAACCCGGGACCTCTCGCACCCTAAGCGGGAATCATACCACTAGACAGATGTCCCATGTATTAAGCTTCGATGCATTCCTACATTTTTCGCAAATTAAGATAATTGCGTTTTTTTCTAATCTTTTTTTTTTTGGTTTTAATGTGTTTTTTGGGTTTAATAACTTTTTTAAGTTGTTTTCTGTGAGCTATTTTTCTACTAGAAATTATATATTTTTTAAGGAAGTGTATTGGGGACAACCGGGAATTGAACCCGGGACCTCTCGCAGCCTATGCGAGATTCACACCGCTAGACCGCTGTCCCATTTATTTTGCGTCGATGCATTCCTACATTTTTTTGCAAATCAAGATCATTTCGTTTTTTTAACATTTTTTTCTTGTTTTGATGAGTTTTTTGTTATTTTATTTTTTTTTTACTTTTTGCTGTTTTTCTGCAAGAAAAAAAAATTTGTTTTTAATTTTATATTGGGGACAACCGGGAATTGAACCCGCGACCCAGCGGACCCGAAGCAAGAATCATACCACTAGAACACTGTCCCATATTTATAGCTTCGATGCTTTCCTGCATTTTTCACAAATCAAGGTTATTCCTTTTTTTGTCCGTTTTTTTTGTTATAGTGAGTTTAATAGTTTTTTTTCTACGTAGCTTAATGTTTGCTGTCTTTTACCAGAAAATAAATTTTTTCTGTTAGTAGATTGGGGATAGCCGGGTAATCTTCCTTGCTAATCTAGAATCATACCACTAGACTACTGTCTCATGTTTTTAGCTGAGATGCATCCCTACTTTTTTCACAAATTAAGATTTTTCTTTTTTGTCCATTTTTTCTCGATTTGGTAATCGAGAATCAAACCACTAGACCATTGTTCCATGTGTAAGCATCGATGCATTCCTAATGATTTCACAATAAAAAAAAATTGTTTCATTTTTATTCGTTTATTGTTATTATAATTTTTTTTACTTTTGCTGTATTTCTGCTAAAAAAATGTAAACTTCTTTTTTTATATAATATTGGGGACAACCGGGAGTTGAACCATGGATCTCTCACATCCGAAGCAAGAGCAAACCACTAGACCACTGTCCCATGTTTTTGCTTTCCTGCATTTTTTCACAAATCAAGAATATTCCTTTTTTGGTCCGTTTTGTTTTTCGTTTTGGTGAGTTAATTAGTTTTTTTCTATCTTGCTCAGTGTTTGCTGTCTTTTTACTTAAAGTTTTAGTTTTTGCTGTTAGTATATTGGAGACAGCCGGGAATTGATTCTGTGATATCTCGCACCTTTAGCAAGAATCGTACCACTAGACCACTGTTCCATGTTTGTAGCGTTGATGCATTCTTACTTTTTCATGAATAAGATTTTTCCGTTTTTGTCAGTAGCTTTTTCGTTTTGGCGAGTTTTAGCGGGTTTAATAATTATTTTAAATTGCTTGCTGTTTTCTATTTTTCTACTGAAAAATATATTTTTCTTTTAAGTTATTTTGTGGACCAACGGATTTGTTTCGGGGACCTCTCGCACCCAAAGCGAGAATCGTATCACTAGACCACTTTTCTATGATTCACTGCTACAAACAATCTAGTTCATGCTAGTTTGAACACCTAACCTATATCACACTAAGCCAGAATCATACCACTAGCGTCATTCATACCACTAGACTTTTGTCCCAATGTTTAGCTATGATGCTTTCCTATTTTTTCACACAAAAAATAGATTTTGTTTGTTGTCTGTTTTGATACCGGAACCTCTCACACCTAAAGCGAGAATCCTTGAAATATTGTCTTAAGTTTTGTAGTCTTTGATGTATTTCTGCTAGAACATATGTGTTTTTTTCTAATGGTAAATTGTGGAGAGCCGTGGATTGACTACCGGTCACACAGGAAGAGAAAGTTTCTCTCCAATTTTGGTTGTCGGAAGACAAAGACGAGCTTCATCATCAATAAACTGTCAACCAGAATTTTTTTTGCGTGTTTTCAATTGAACTGGAATTGTGTTGTGATTTTACATGCAACTCAAAAGTGAAAAATAAAAAAATTTAACTTTTTTTTGAGTTCGTTTACACTTTTGTATTTGTTTGTTGACTATGATGAATTTTCTAAATGACTAAATGGTTTGCTTATAATGGTTTGCTCAGAAAAGTTTGAAAAATGGTTAAAGCTGGAAATTTGTGAATATTTTGAAAAATACTCAGTTGAATGAATAGTTTGCCTGAGAAAACATAGAAAAACGCAAAGCAATTCACGACAAGGAAGAGTTTAAAGAATCCAAGTTTCATGATTAATGAGCTTGCTGCTTGCTTACTACAGCCGATTTTTTGCTCGCCGATAGACTAATTGATAAGGGCTTGATAGTCACATTTATTTGCAATTTTTCGCAAATGGTCAAATCATAAAGGAAAATTTTTACTTTTTTTTTAAAAAAAGACCTTAAAATATAGTTAATAACTTCGCAAAAACTTCATGAAAAAAGGTAGCGGATAATAAGGCTACTTTTTAGTTGCATCAAAAATATTTAAAAAAGAAAATGATATTTTCTTGATCACTCACTTGAGAAATTTTTGCGTCCATTTGCCCATAAGCGAAACAGGAAATTCTCACGACACAGTCACACTTGGCGAGGTCGTCCATTTTTTCAAATTCTAAATGGATTTTATATGGTGGGAAATGAAGTTATTTGATTCGTTTTGATTTGCTACTATTGAACTGATATGCTGTTCGTTTTTTCATGATATGGTTTTCAAGTAGCACAGAATATTCCAACCATAGTATTAAAAAGATGCAAAAAGTTTTTTTTCAAAATAGAGTTTTTTTTCTGCATTGTGTGATAAACAGATCTGAACTAAAAAAAGAATGTAGGCATATTAGACACACACAGTGAAATAGGCCAATTGGAAATCAGTTTTTGAAGCAAAATGACTAGAAAAACGAAAAAAAAAAATTATTGTAAGAAAAGTTTTAAACAAGTATTAAACATTTTTCATTTTTTTAAGTTTTTGGAATTTGTGAAATTTTTGGTCCCCAAAATGGCGCTAATAATTCCACAAACTAACTTTACATGAGTAAAACTCGAGCTTTCACGGCTTTTTAGGGTGCATTGAAAGAGAGTGACGCTCTAATTCTAAAGACGCCAAAAATTTTCTTAAGGCGCCAAAATATACTAACCGACGAAACGCAAATTTTTGATCAAGTCTTTCCGTTTCCGAAAAAGGCCTAAAAACGGCTTTTTGAACCTGTTCTTTTTTTCAAAAAATTTCTTGCGGCGCAAAATTGTTGATAATAATAGGGTTTTTATAGTTTTCTGGGAGTCCTCTGAGAATCAGTTTGGTAAAAAAAAGATCGACAAAGTTTCCGTAAAGGAAGACTAAGTTCCTCTCCAATTTCGGTGGTCGGAAGAAATAGACGAGCTTCATCGTCAAGAAGCTGTCAATCAGAATTATTTTCTACGTGATTTTATCTGAACTATAATCTGTACTTGATGTTATTTCACATGCAACTCAAGAGTGAAAAATAAAAAATTCAACATTTTTTGAGTTCATTCAACACACTTTTCTAGCTGTTTATTGGATATTTTGATTTTTCTAAATGACTAAAAACTAATTTTCGACCTTTCTACTTTTGATTTGCTGTTTAGATGGCTCGACACATCATTCTTTTCACACAATGTTGTTACGTCTAAACTGCAGATGTTCAGAATGCTCCGAACCAAGTTCGGGCCAGAAAATGTTTGTGCCGTGGAATTGCAACCCAAACTACAAACTACCTAAAACCCAAAGCAGCTCGTCTGCAAAAACTCGCCCCCGATTCTCGTCTGGGAGTTTCGACGTTACTCGATGTTCACAATCTGAACAAGATGAAAACTTGTGGAACGTTGAGTTTCTCGATCGTAGAGACGGGTCCACCCATTTGGGTTCCGTGTCGAAGGATTTCCTCGCCGAGGTCTATCACAACTGCGAGAAACGACAGCATATAAGGTCAGTGATTGATGATAGATCATCTAATTTCTTATCGCTGTTTTACGTAATTTTTTACAGCGATTTTTTCACCCCAGTACTGAATTAGTTTATGACCCAAATCATGGTTAAGGGGCGTGCATCCAAAAGTTTCATATTTGACGTCCATTCGAATATGGAAAAATTTGATCCTAAATTGTTCGATCCAGAGGCCAGGAACAACGCTTATCCCCTCGCTTAAGGTCAGCTGAATACCCAGCATTGTTTCTTTCAGCGAATCGAAGACCCCGAAACCTTTGACGGATGCTGTCAGGAAAATTGATTATACCCATTTCTACGGAACTGAAGAAGGTTTATTTGGAGCACTAACCGAGCTGGTCCATAGCGGTATGGTTATTCTCAAGAATGCGCCACAACGCACTGAGACCATACAGATGTGTATGGCCCGATTTGGTCCAGTGGCAGAGACCATTTATGGAATTGACTGGAGAGTGAAAGTTGAAGACAATCCAATAAACATTGCATACTCCAACGAACATTTGGGTAAAACTGTGATGGTACATAAGCTAGCCGAAAACTCTAAGCAGTCCGTTGCCTAATAAGTATCTGAAAATTAAGTATTAAAAAATCAAAAAAAAACAATGGTAAAAATTATAATTAATTCATTTTTTCAATTAATTAAGATAATCTGCTCAATGTCGATTCGTTAATAATTTGGCTGGTTTGTCCACTTTCGATAAACATTTTATTATTAGAGACGGATTTTGATTTTTTTTTGCAAAATGATCGCTCAAACAAACTGAAATCCCTCCTCTGTGAAAAAGAAAATTGCGTCGTCGATCAATTTTGAAACAAAGTTTAGCCAAAATACGAATGTATACCAGATTAAGATCTCTTATTCGAGCAGATATGAAAAGTGTCTCAATTCTGACCTATCTCAAAAAAAACCTAAGAACAAAAAATCATTTATTTGAGGTCAAAATGGCTGAAAAAAAAGAGAAAGCAGACTGAAAATTCTCAACAGTTTTAACTGCGACTTGAGACGCTTCCAAAAGACCTCATATAAGGTCCTAGTTGTGCTTCTCTTATTTTTATTAGTTTCAAGATTTTATAACAGTGGTGGTAACTTTTGACTTGTGATTTGAAGTTGAAGTTGTTTTAGACTATCACATGGATCTGATCTATTATGAAAGCGCACCTGGTCTGCAAGGCTTACACGCCTACCTGTTCGACCGGGAGACCAAAGGAGGCGAGTCTCTCCTGCTGGATGTCTTTCCAGTTGCAGGTGAACAGACAGCAGCAGACATCTTAATTTAAAAAAGCTGAAATTTTTGTTTTAAACAGAAATGGTAACGAGAGTTGTTTTAATAATGAAAACTTAAATTTTTACACTCGTTTTAACATAAGCCAGTGCAAATCAGTTGAATGATTGTTGTCCAGCTGGACAAAAAAGGTGTATTTTTGATTGAAAGTGAAGTTTTTTGAAGCTAGAAAATTTGATTTAAACTAGATTTTTTGTCAATTTTAGTAAGACTGGTACTAAAATAATATTATAATCGATTATTAACCCTTGAAACTGGATGCGTTAGATCTAATTGTTAAATAATTAAAACAATTTTTATATTCATTGTTTTTGAGTTCTTGTGAAACCTATATCTAAACTCTTAACATGTTTTTGGACGCAAATAATGTAATGCATCAATTTCTGTTCTTATTTCAGAGGAGTTCAGGCGTCTTCATCCAGATCTATTCCAGACCTTCTCCACGGTACCCGCCACTTTCCAGAAGATCCACTTCAGTCGAGAGAGTCCAGTGTATCTGCGTAGTCACAAACCACACATAGAGGTAGAATGCGATGGGGTTCGAATCTGAGTGGGATCTTTGTTTTTTGGGGTTAGATTAAAACGACCGTTTTTTTATCCCTTCTCTCAATCATTAAATTGAGAGAAGGGATATCCCTTCTCTCAATCATTATCCCTTCTCTCAATCCCTTCTCTCAATGGGATCTGAGTGGGATCTTTGTTTTTTTGGGGTTAGATTAAAACGACCGTTTTTTTATCCCTTCTCTCAATCATTAAATATTTTAAATTCATTTTGTTTCCAAGTCTGAATTTCGACAATTTGAGTATAAAATAGTTTTTTTCCGATCTCAACATAAGTTGACTGAAATGATGTTTCTCTCCCAATCGGTGTTTTCCTCAAAGGTTCAGACTGAATAATCTTTCACTTAGCAACATAAGTGTCATATCACACAGGTGAACAGAGATGGTGCCATCATTGCAGTCAATTGGAGTCCTCAGTTCGAGGGACCCCTTCTCAAAGCACGACCCGACGAGGTGGCTAGCTACTATGAAGGCAAGCAATCTGCAAGTCTTGGGGCGGGGGGGGGGTAAGATTGGTAAATAAAGTGATGCGAAGAGGTGAATACTTTTATTGCTCTTCGTGCGTGATGACGGGGTGATTATGAAGTTTGAGCTTGAATTTTTGTTGGTCAAACCAATTTACTTTTTAGGCTTATATCGAAATCTAAGTAGACTCAATTTTTCAAAAAAAAGTCTGTTTAATTGAACATTTTGAAAGTTTTTGTTTCAAGTGCTATAGCTTTCTGCAAGTACCACCCTCGCCACGGGATATGGCTTCTTCAATTTTAAGACATGGCTCTTTTCAATTTTCCCCCACCTCACATAAGCATCAATTTTATGTTGTAAAGATTGGTGTTACAAGGTTAAATATGATGATGACTAAGTATGTTTGCCATGACCAAATTAGTCCGCATGCCAATTTTTGTAACAATAGGCAATCGAACAATGTGAACAAAAATTCGCAGGTGGTGGAGGAGGTTTAGAAAAAGAGCCTAAAGTTTGTCTTCAAGAAACAGAAAAAAAAATTCCTCCGAAAATGATTGTCGTTCGGAAATTATTTTGAAATAGGTTTTCTGACGAAAAAAAATCACATTTTTAAAATGCCAGTTACATTATTTTCTAATGTTTATGTGCCGGTCAAAATCGTGTTTTGTGACTTTGACTGATATGTTATGATGATTGCTTTGATTTTGATTGCTTCGATGCTTTAGCGTACACCACGTTTGGACAGATGCTTCAAGACAGCAAACTCGGAAAGCAATTCAAACTTGAAGAAAACGACGTGCTGGTCTTTAACAATCGGCGCATTGTACACGGCAGGACGGAGATCGAATCCCGCTCTGGCGGGCGGGAACTGATTGGCGCATATGTCAACATCGACGAATTTTACAAAACTTATAATGTGTTAGCGGTGAAATATGGCAAACAAACTTACCCTGTTCGTGTTGGAAATCACGACCAAGCATAACGAGTCCTGAAATTCAGCCAACTTGATTATGTTTTTCTTAATAACTAGACGCTGAAACGACACACCAAAACCCTGAGTGCCCATATTGCTCAAAGAGTGGCGACAAGTTTTGAACTTTAGACTAAAAGCGGTTTTTAAAATTGTACGAACTGTGGTGATATATTATAATAGGTGGTAATTTTAATTATAGTGCGTGTATTAACTACAATGCATAATATAGTCCTTTCATTTTCAATCATTTGTACACGCTGCTTAGATAGTTTTTGTAAATACGGTACTCTGCCAGATGAAATGTTACTCAAAAACTCAAATTTTGCACTATAGCCATAAAACTTGGCTTTTGAAATTAATTATAGAAACTTTGCGAAGTATAACAAAAAGCGATCCAGCTATTTAACTGTAAATTGCCACCTATTGTAATATATCACCCGAACTGTATATATGTGACTCACATCGTTCCATTTGACCTAAAATCCTCCATATTTGTAAATTCTACAGCAGCATATTATATTCGATGCTTAAATTTTAAAATTCAATTATATTTAGCCTCAAAATGGTGTTTTTTAATTACTAAATTTGATACAGTTGTGGTCTCGTTTCGAAAATCTTAACGTGCAGCGTAAATTATCTCTTAATTTTTTTTTCTCATATTTTAATTTCGTTTTGATTTTGAGTCTAATCAGTAACGATAGCAGTTCTAATCGTTTGGCGGGATCACAATTCGAGGATCACAATATTTCAAACAATTTCTTTCATTTCGGACATACGGTTGTTTTTACCCTGTGGCAAACGGAGCTTAAGAAATTAGACGAAAAGCAAAATAGACCATCAGATAATAACGGAATTTAGACAATAACATGCGCGCACATTTAGTGAAGTTTGTTTACAGACTTAAATTAACTTTTGGCTGAGTAAATACTGGTTGTCCGTAAATTCCGTTTCTTTACGGTCGTCTTATGTGCTTGCAGTCTAATTTCCTAGGCCCCGTGGCAAACATGTGCATTTAATTTTCTGTGGCACAATTTATTAGCGTTTCAAATAAACTACCCAGAACGAAAAGCCAGAAAGATCATTAAAATGCCAATAGATGTAACTAAACAACTTATTTCACTACCCGTATCGAGAAAATTCTTTATTTCTGACCTGAAATACTTTGTCTGATCAGAAGTTTTTTTAAAATGTTTAATTAAAGTATGGATTTTCTTAATTTTTTTTAATTTCTCATCCTGAAAAAGTCTCCTGATGGGGTTAGCACCCCTGCCCTTCTGATTTCTAGATATTTGCTCTATCCACTAGTCTACAAGCTTTGCTGCAGATTAGTAGTTTTAGCAGTATAAAACTTGTTATAACAAATGTAAGTTTGCATTGGTTCGCTGCTGTTATCGTGTATACTCGAAGCATGTTTATCTCGTTGCGGTTGAGCAGTGAACTGATTTCTGGTTATTTCTTTCCAGAAACTGTTTATTTGTAAACTAGAAAAGAATGAGGTCACTTCTGCAAGAAAAAAACGAGAAAACTAGGCTAGGTAATCTATATAAAATTTCTATCTAGAAAAAGAGCTTCCGTTGGGTACGGGTAAGAAAAACTTAATATAAATTCGAATTAACAGAAAATTTATTATCTGCAAATTCTGCTTAACAGTCCATAAAATCAGTTGGGCCAAAACAATGCCAAAGTTAGTTATTCCATAAATAAAACAAAAAAATTTAGTTTTTTAAATTTTTCAGTTATTTGTATAGTTCTTAACGTATTTTCTTTGTTTTTCTTTTGATAGCAAAACAGATTTTGATTAAAAATCAATTTTATAACTTTTTAGTTGCCTTACAATTTCTCATTCAAACTCAGAAGAGATTTAATTATGAATAATTATAATCATCCCGTTCTTACGCTCGACCAACCTAATGATCTCCCGAAGTATTTGAAACGTTTGTTTAAGTTGTAAAAATTAGATTTCATATTTTTTGCATCCATAGTTTGTTCTTTTTTGGTCAAAAACGTGTATATCTATTCAAACCTTTTTGGACCACAAAGTAAGTTGTTTGTTTAGTGATTTTTTTCCAACTTTCTGTCAAGTTATGTTTTTTCAATGATCTTGTACAAACATAGCTGCTAGTTAAATTTTAAAAAACAACTATTTTATCAATATTTCTGCAAAAAAAAATACAATGATTGGTATGGTTACTCGGAACGCGTTGCGCTAAAATAAATAAGTGTTGAAATCAAACGCAGAGCAAAAGAAAAAAATTTTTTTTTGTCAAAATTAAAGCAATCATTCTGGGGACATCACTTTTCTGTTCAGTCAGCTCAATTCACTCCAATTTGAAACCCATTCAAAACCGTAACTTTTTTGTTACTTAAATCGATCTTAAACTATTTTATGTCAGTGCGGGTAAGATTGAGTTTGCTGTACTGGAGAAAAAAGAAGTCGCGCCAAACTCTACGGTAAAAAAAACACAAAAAGATAGGCAGATGGTTGTATATAGTAAACTAAAGTTTTCTATCAGATAACAAGCTTCCTATGGTCATATTCATGGCCATTATCTCAATGAGCCAAACGTGCCCTTATCGTCACACAACGATAAGCTCAGATTTTGGCGGTTCTCGGATCGACCAACGAAAATTAGAAAGCGCATCTCCACTTAGAAACTAAAATTTTACGTGCATGAGGGGGTTTTAAAAGCCTTGCTTTAAATGAAGTTTCAAACCTTACAACTTCAGCTGTCCATCAAAAAGCCACTGACGACGGTGCTGTCTGTGAGCATAAGACCGTAAACCAGTTGCCCTGCGTTGCTTCCCGGATTGAAGATCACGTCAACGGGTATCAGTGACTCTGAAAATCACACCCGCTAATTTACCGCCAAATTCAAAAAATAAACTAACACGCATAACTGGCGACTGTTCTTCTTTTTTGCGAAGAGAATAATGGGTGTACAGGTGTTTCAAATAAGTCACAAAAAGTGATTGCCGAGAAAGACCGCATTTCTACAACTTTTATCTGCGCACACCCTTGAGGATTAAAATTTAGGGGATTGCTTATCTAGGTCCGTTAACACACTCTAACTTAACGGCAAAGCAAAGTGGTCCTTGGACTGAGATTCACTACTATCCCCAATCCCGAAAGGGTAAGTTGATGGCAACTGTTTTGTACCGTTTTCTGTTACTTGCCCCGTTTTGTACTGCTCTTAGGGCTGTCTCGTTCGCTCGATACGATCGCAAAAACTTACAGATAAAATTGATTTCGAATAATAAAATTCCAAAAACAGAAGGTGCTAAGTGGCCAGAGTGAAATCTAATAATCTAATCAAAAGAAATGGATCCACGATCCGCTAACACAATTGCTAACTAGCATTTAAATGGCTCATTAGCACTAACTAACTTTTTACACTCATGCTATCCTCGATAGCTCAATCAATATTCTCTCACTCCGGAGAAATCGCTATCTTCACCCACTCACCTTCACTTGGAGAATCACTTTTCTCACAAGTGTCAAACTGTTCTCTCTAACTGAGAAACAACTATGCTCTATCTCAGTATCAATTATTCTGCCTAAGGATAGGCTTCCCGTAACCTTTTCGCTATGTTTTTTTAATTGAGTTTTGGTAATAGTTATAGTTATGATCGTCCCTACAAGTCCTGGTTTTAACCTATCACCCCTTTCGCAAGGTCTTAACCGAATCCTTACTCTAACGACACTACTCCTAAATTCCAAGTTCATCATAGGTGTTTCTATCTAAGTTGTGCAAATATCAAGTCCAATTTCACCTCTAAACCAAGCTATGTTTAATTAAACAATCTCCCAAGATTTTTATTTGATTATCCCATTAACGTTCCGACCTCCCGAAGCTTGGGGGACACCCTTTTTATTTGTAAATAAGTCATTCCGAGCATCCAAACTTTCAATCTATACTCTATTATAATCCCGACCTTCTAGCTATCAGGGGAGTGTGATTCGCTTATTAGGAGTCAAATTGAACCAAAAGGCCATCTATGGGGAGCTAAGTGAATATCCTGCCAACCATGTCAATTTTGAGATCTTTCTCCCATGCCATGCTCCTATTAATGCCAATTTCTTCTGGGGTTTTTCTTTAATTTGATTGATTTTCTATAAAAAGCGCTTTCACCAAGCTTAGCTGGACTCAATGTTTGCCGAGTTTACTCGTTTTATTTCACTACTTCAAAGATACAATAAAAAGCTAAATATTTTGCAGCTTCTGCTTCAGTTATTAATATATAAGTTCCCTCCCAATATTAGTGAGGTGACTAAAGCCATAAAATTTGGCTTTTGAATTAAATTATAAAAACTTTGAAGTATAACAAAAAAGCGATCCAGCTATTTAAATTTAAATTACCACCTATTGTAATATATCACCCGAACTGTATTGATGTGACTCACAATGTTTCATTTGACCTAAAAATCTTCCATATATGTAAATTCTACAGCAGCATATTATGTTCGATGCTTAAATTTTAAAATTCAATTATATTTAGCCTCAAAATGGTGTTTTTTATTTACTAAATTTGATACAGTTGTGGTCTCGTTTCGAAAATCTTAACGTGCAGCGTAAATTATCTCTTTAATCTTTTTTTTCTCATATTTTAATTTCGTTTTGATTTTGAGTCTAATCAGTAACGATAGCAGTTGTAATCGTTTGGCGGGATCACAATTCGAGGATCACATTATTTCAAACAATTTTTTTCATTTCGGACTTACGTTTGTTTTTACCCTGTGGCAAACGGAGCTTAAGAAATTAGACGAAAAGCAAAATAGACCATCAGATAATAACGGAATTTAGACAATAACATGCGCGCACATTTAGTGAAGTATGTTTACAGACTTAAATTAACTTTTGGCTGAGTAAATACTGGTTGTCCGTAAATTTCGTTTCTTTGCGGTCGTCTAACGTGCTTGTCGTCTAATTTCCTAGGCCCCGTGGCAAACATGTGCATATAATTTTCTGTGGCACAATTTATTAGCGTTTCAAATAAACTACCCAGAACGAAAAGCCAGAAAGATCATTAAAATGCCAATAGATGTAACTAAACAACTTATTTCACTACCCGTATCGAGAAAATTCTTCATTTCTGACCTGAAATACTTTGTTTGATCAGAAATTTTTTAAAAATGTTTAATTAAAGTATGGATTTTC